CCGCCTCAGCGGCGGCGCTCATGGCGGGCCTGCGGGCCAGCCTGTCGGATCTGCAGCAGAGAAATCCCGCTCTGCTTGCTGGCTGCAGGGCGTCCGAGCTGGCGGCCACCGCCTTCCTCACCGCGCAAACCCAATCGCCAGGGGGGGCGGTGTGGGCGGCCGCCTTTGCGCAGCTGGGCGCGGCGCGCCTGCTGATGCAACTCCTGCAATCACTGGAGGCCCCGATTAATGGTTGGGATTTCATGTGGTCACCCGCGTGGCCGGCGTCGATCGCGGCAGCACTGTACCTGTTTGCTTCACCAAACCTGATTGCGGCGTTGCCGGCAGCAGCAGGGGCATCATCATCATCATCATCATCATCATCAGCAGCAGCAGCAGCAGCAGCAGCAGCAGCAGCAGCAGCAGCAGCAGCAGCAGCAGCAGCAGCAGCAGCAGCAGCAGCAGCAGCAGCAGCAGCAACCGCAACGGCAGGGCAGCAACAGCAGCAGCGGCAGCAGCAGCAGCATCAGCAGCAGCTGGAGCAGCAGCAGGAGCAGCAGCAAGAGCAGCAGCAAGCGCGGGAGCAGCAGCAGCATGACAAGGGCGGCAAGGTCAATGGCAATACCCGCAGCAGGCAGGGTGGTGTGGCAGCGCTTGAGTGCGACAATGGCAGCGGGCACGGTCCGCAGATGGCGGCCGCAGCTGCGGCCGCCTTGTTGGCCACGTTTCCTGAGTCTGCGCGGTGCCTGTGCTGGCTGGTCTCTGCCTGCCCCAGATGCCGCGGCGACTTGGCTGTGGTGCCGGGGCTGCTGACCGCAGTGTCGCACACTGCATCGAGCGTCTCAGCGATGGGTTCAGAGGGGGTGGGGATCATCGTGTCAAGGCTGTCGCTCCGCACGCTGGCCATGCTGGCGGCAGCTGTCGCGCCACTCGAGCATCTGCCAGATTATGTGCAAGAGTATGCAGGCAGGCAACGAGTTGAATTCTCATCAGAACCACTTGCGCCTTGCACGCACCCGTCAGGGCGCCTGGCCGTGGAAAATTTGCTGCGGTGTATTTCCAGCCGCAGCAGCAACAGGGCTGCTGCCTCTCAAGCAAAAGCGGCGCTGGCGGCCATGCAGGGCCAGCGAGCCCGAGGAATGGGACATGTGTCGCAGCAGCAGCAGCAGCAGCAGCAGCAGCAGCAGCAGCAGCAACAGGAGCAGCAGCGGCGGCGGCAGCAGGAGCAGCAACAGCAGCGGCAGCAGCGGCAGCAGCAGCAGCAGCAGCAGGACGAGGAGAAGTTAAAGCGGAAGGAGCAGCAGCAGAAGCAGGAGCAGCAGGAGGCAGACCAACTGCTGCGGCAGCAAGGCTTACACGAGACAGACGTGGAGCGGCGCGTGCCAGGGCCGGCGGAACGCGAGCAGCTGCAGGAGGAGGAGAACCAGGAGCCTGCTGCAGCAGGTCACCAAGCAGGCCCAGCAAGCACAGCCCCCGTCCTGGCGTCCGGCCCTAGCAAACCCCAGCAGCGCCGCGAATGCGCCGTCTGCGGCAAGACGGCGCGCGAGGGCGCCGAGCTGCGGCGCTGCGCGGGCTGCGGGCGCGTCACCGGGACGCGGTACTGCAGCCAGGAGTGCTGCAGGACGGACTGGGTGGTGAGGGGGCACCGCGCGGTGTGCGAGGCGGCGCGGCGGGGCGGCGGCACCAGCAGCGGCAGTCAGCCGAAGGGTGTTGGTGCATGAAGATATTTGACGAGTCTGCATTGATTTGTCTGGTTGAGCTTTGTGCATGCCTGCAGCTCGTGGTTGTGAGCCCTTGTGAGCATGTTGCCGGGCGCGCCCACTGTCTGCCCTCGTCCCCCATGCGCTGTTCTTACTGCAACGCAGAGCGTCAGCGTGGGTAAGCCGGCCCACCCTGTTTCCAACAGCAACAGATGAGCCAGCATCGCCAGCAGGGGGTTGTACCTTGGGGTGCGTTTCAGGGCGCGTCACAGCTACCAGCCTGCTGCATTTGTTGTGCCCACTGACAGTGGAGTCTCAATTACAGTTACCTGATAAAAAGCCGGAGGGGTGCCTGCATGGTAGAGACGAGCAGGGAACTCAGCTGGCATGTTACGGGAGCCAACTGAACTGAACGGCGCCCCAACTGCCTGCTCATACCGAAACTGTGCGGGCTTGGTGCTTTCCTGTGTTAGCGCACATATCGCGGGAGCAGGCGTCCTTTCAACCTTCAAGCCTGTTATGATGTTTACGTTGTTACAACGAGGCTTCAGATCATCCGAAGTGCAACGTCCGACCCATGCAGCCCGCCATGGAGTCCGTGCTCACTGATCTGTTGATTAATCTGGATCGTGGTATTCCCAAAGCAGCCAGCAAGGCATGCGACGAGCTGCGAGTGGCCCAGGCTCGAGGGTGGCAGGTGCCTTGGCAAGACGCGACGCGCCTGCTGCGCCATGCGTGCTGCCTCGAGGGCGGCATCGTCCGGGTCGGCTGCGCCTGGATTGCCTACAGGGCAATCGATGTGCTGCTGAGGACCGCGCCCG